AGCATTACATTCTAAGCTAATTGTTTACTTTTATGAATTGACATCCATCCTTCTCTCATACTCAAAGTTTACTTATGAGGAATGTTTGCCCTTCTATGCTTGCATGCATCTTCACGGAAAGTGTCCAAAATCAGAAGATCAAAAACCCACCCTGTTCTTCACGCCCCGATTCCTCAAAACCTTGCTAATTTTGTTGCTTATATTCTTCCTAAGTCACTTCCTGTCAGCTCTGCAATCAGTCAGAGGAAGCTACAAAGCTGAGACAGCTGAGAACGTAGACAGCATCGGAACTGGGAGTGGTGTCTGCAAATGGTGTCACCAGGACACAGTCAGGGGAAACATCATCTGGGTATGTGACAAAACACGCACCAGGAAATGTTCATGGTGGAATCAAACTTCTAAAACCATATCCTTGAAACAGCTCCTCATGTGGCCCATGCAATAATAATTACCAACTTCAAGAGAACAATGTGAAGGGGTTATAAGTTGAGTTAGAGCTGAAATAGTTGAGTGTAGAGCTAGCACCATTTATAAGGACGAAGAGTACCACCACTTAAATTGCTAACAACCACAATTATTATTAATTACTTTAATAGCTTGTGGTTATTAGTGTTGCTTAAATATTTCCAGACAAGCTTCAAGGCAAATGCAATCACATTTAGATTGAGAAGATTTTTTTATGTTGTTTACAAACATATGCCAGACCTTCAGTTACTGCACAAATCCATGTACTTTGTACATGCTTCATGATGACATCATATTCAAAACATTTAGAATAAAATATCAAATGTAATGTGGATAAACAAAAACATGACAATTTTTATGTGTAGCATTATAATTCACAAAATCATTTGCCCAAAATAATTAAAAACTGGCATTATATGCTGTCAGATGGATAATAGAGATGTCAGTTTTGATTTTATTGTCCCCATTACCGATTTGAATAATTTAAAATTGGGTTTCAGTCCCAGCACTTACATTTACCTGAAGCACATGGTTGCAAATTGCACATTATGCAAGTATGTACACCAAATTCAACGTTATGTTATTCCTATGCACCTTAGTAGCACCCCTCAGTCTATACACAGGTAAGAGTATCCTACATTACTAAACTGTATACATTTTTTTTTTACTGAAACTATGTGGTTGCAACTAAAAGCTCCAAGAAGATGGGGACCAATGCAAAGACAATTATTTTATTCTTAAAATATTTATTTATATATATATATATATATATAAAAAAATATTCCAGCTGAATTTTATTCACAAATTAGGATACACTTTGAAGATACACACCAATTCCACGTTATGTTTATTATCACTTATGCCAAGTTTAGACAGAGATGTAACATCTAGATATTGCTGTATATCTAAACAATCTGTACAGTTCATTCAAAATATACACACTGAATCTAGGAAATGTGCAGTACTCTAGTCAGCAAGGTGTTGCGTGAAAGTATTTCAGCATGACATAATGAATTCTTAGTTGACTGTTGTAAAAGAGTCCAGAGTCTGAGAACTCTCCAGGGTCTTATTGGCTACAACATCACTGAAAACAAACACATAAGCACTGTATAAGCACTGTTGGTTTTAACAAGGCCAGGAGGTACAGTAACCCACTTCACCCATTAAACGGAAATACCTTCGCTAAACCACTGGAAAAAAAGAGGGGGGGGATTTTTCCAATCCTCCAAGGATGTCATTAAAAGCCATTTCATTTAGTTTGATTTATTTTTTTTAAATGTCATTTCCTGATGCAAGGAACATTCATTATTGGGCATCCCACATGAAAATGTAGGATAATGTAGAGTTTGATGGTTGAACCAAACCATATAGAGTTTGATACAGTAGTCACCTAGCCATACACAGATGCTCTTTGAGGAAAATTATTTTAAAAACAATGAAGCCACCATATAGGAGCCACAAACCTCATGAAACACAAGAAGTTCAGGATAAGCTGAATCTATCCAAAAACAGATAACTTGGATGAATTAATCAGTACAACTTTGCTGACAAACCAGTGGGAGGAGTTGCAAATGTTCATTTGGTTTTTAAAATCTAAAAATATATTTTTCTTTTTCATACTTTTAAGGTTAATTACCAGTGGCTGTATTTTATTGTTGCACAAAAAGTCCTGTCAGCCAAATTTGTCATGGTCTTCCAGACTTAGAGGTGTTATTCTTGGCTTGGTTGAATCAGATGGTGACAATAACAGAAGTACAAAGTCATTGCTGACCCAGTTCCGTAATGGGCAATGAGTGCTGATGAACTAGGTTAGATCAGTTACTATTAATATTGAGGAATGAGAAGAAAGTTGGCCATGCTGCATTCCAAAGGCCCCAACATTCCCACATATTGTCAGGGCTCAGAATGAAATCCAATATTTGTATCCCTCGAATCCCAAAGCACTATCCTGGCATGCCAAATTGCTTTCTTATTTCATCTGAGAGGAATGCACCAGACTCATGAAATCTCACCAACTAAAGATATGTTATTAAATGTGTGGGGGAAAGCTGGCACAAATTCAGCCTCAGAGCTGGTTACCATGACTCTCAGGAGATAAAGGATGCCAAACTTCCTAAAAGCTTCATATTTTTCAAACACCCCAGGGATGCGTCTTTTTGAAGGACTGCAGTGACCTCATCCAATTTACACAGATACTTGAATGTCTTTGGTGTTTTTTAATCCTGATTTTGAACAAGCAGAAAAAATGAAGCCTATCTATTCTCGTTTGTTTCTGCACAACCTTACATTAAAGCTGGTTAAGTCAGCAGCGCTCAGCAGATTTGTCACCTCGTCTTTGTTTAACTTCTCATTCTTTGCATCACAGTCCAAATAGAAACCAATCTTGCAGGGGTGAGAAGACAACAGCTGCGGCATTGAGGACATAAGGCTTCTGGGTAATGCCGGGAATGCCCCTCTAGGACAGTTATAGCAAGGCATATAGGGACAGACCGCTGAAGTGACCAGCTATTTTTTTTTTAAATAACCTTCAGGAATCCTACTCTGAATTGAGGCACTGTATGAACCAATATGCTTACACATCATAAGCTACAGAAAGTGTGTCACTGGCACATACACAATAGTGCCATTTGACACACAATCAGTGCGGGGACTTCCAGAGAGAAAGATGAGTAAGTAGCCTTTCTTGTGAAGTCCCAAGCATCTTTGTTCCTCAGACATTGAAACCAGTCTACTGAAAACACAACATACAGATGATCCCAAAAGATCAGATTAAAGCAGCTTTACAGACTTTGTCTAGTCGTGTCCATGCAAATGAAAATTATCGTGTTGGGAGCTGAACTGAAGGGATAAAATGTTGACTGCAGCTTACGACCCATCCCTCACAGTGCCTCTAATCCTGGCAGATCAGCTTGTCAAACTGTAATGGTCGATAAAATATGAAAAGCCCTGTCAGAGCTGATGGCAGCAAAGGGTGTTCATACAGTGCATTAAAGCCCTCTACTTTCATTGATGCTTTTGTTGCGTAATGAATCTTCTGGAGGCATCACACTGCTTGCCCCCTTGGTGCACGTGAATGCGGGGAGGTTTTCAGAAGCCTGAAGCATAAGCTTTACATGTGGTGGAATGGATATTATCTAGTTTACTCATGGATAGCCCTTTGAGTGCATTAAAGAGTTTATCATCAACCTTTAGGCCAATCATCTGTTGATTGAGTAGCATTTGTCTAAAGTGTTTACTCATCACTGCAATCTCTCACACCAATACATCTAATGATCAACTTTTCAGGAGGAAAACATGGTCACACATTGAGATTTTTATTGTTTGGCATGTTTTTCCATCATCTTAGCGGCTGAACCAGTGTTGAACTCACTGTTGGTTGTGAGAAACTTAGAGAGGTAAAGAGTGGGGTGCAAATTATATATTAAATATATTTTAATTAAACTTGCTATGCATTTTTAACCCTAAACCTGTGATAAATGGGGTAGTAATTATTTTCCAAAGTTTATTTCTGAGTCAAAAACTGGCTGTGCTTAAGCACTCAGGTTTGATGCCACAATGTGTTAATTTTAAAAGGTTGTGCATGAATTGTATGTTTATGCCTTTACAATTAAGATGCTTCAATGTGAAAAAAAAAAGTAAGATTTACTTTAAATAAAAAAAAAAACACATTTTGTTTCAAAGGGTCTATAGCTTGAAGGATATTCCAGAACATGATGTCAACATATTCAGTTCTTAGAAAAGTTATGGAATGTGTGGCTGTCAGGATGGTACTCGCACCAAAGGCTTTGACCATGTGATTGATGTGCAGTGAGCTGTGGTCTTGAACCTGAAATAGATCTGCACCCACAACGTTCATCAAGTCCATGTCATCACATCACACCTCGTTTGATTTAATCAGAAACTTGACATCAGTCTCAACGTCTCTGACCACAAGAACAACGAACCCAGAATAATTCATGAAAACTTGAAAGCTTTTCCAGAGAAAATTACAATCCTCGGACTCAAAATTCAAGGAAGACTGGCTAAAAATACATCCAAGCATATCACTAATGCACACTAACTGTTTATAGTCTGCACCAGCAGACTGGTGGGTGAAGAAGTGCTGTCAGCACTGCTGAATAAAGAGCCCAAACATGAAAACCACATACATTTCACATTCCTGTTTTTCATGCTGTTTATGGCCTATAAAGCAAAAAAGGAGTGTAAAATGCTGACCTGTCCTGAAATGCCAACATAAAATTTAGAATTTTTAATCACAAGGGAACATAATCCTTTGTTTCCCTGCAGCAGAGCTTTTACTATAATTTTTCCACTGAGTATTCTAACTTGCCGTTTATTATGTTGTCGGTAGTCATCTGTTTGGCAAGGCCGAGTAGCTGGATGCAGTGCGTTGACAAACTGGACTGATTATCTGTAGCCTGTGTGTGTGTGTGTGTGTGTGTGGTCTCCTACTGTGTGAACAGCAGCTCAGTGTTACTCTCTGTGATCAGTGAGGTTATGAGTATACGTATCAAGATCAAATATCTTGTACTTACCCACATTGGAGACTCTCTCTCGTGTCCCGTAACCAACAAAAGGAGAAAAGAACCACTCCACAAAGCAAGCTTTAGAAAAACTTACAGTCTTCTTGTATCCTCTTGTTTTAAAAAACTCTTTGTTCTTTTCAAAGTGTGAGTTTCACATCCAGCTTCCATGTTTTTGCAAAGTTTGAGTAAAGTTGCTGCATTTTAGGTCTGCTTTCTCTCTGAGCTTCTGAGTCTGGCTCTGGATTTCAGCTGACTGAGCTGGGATCTGAGCTGTTGACGTCCCCACTGACTCTCCCCCACCCTCGCTGTCTTTTGATCACTCATCTCCCCTCCCCTCGTTGGAGTCCCAGTCCCAGTGTATGACAGCATCCATATGAAGTTCAACTACAAGGTAAGAGATTTTCTTTCAAAAACATAATAAAGAAAATAGAATGTGTGTACAGTCCATGAGGACTATGTGAGGCCAAGGGAGGGGGCAAGATGAGAGGAAGTGCCCCTTGGTGGCCCGTGTTTCCCACCCTGCATTACTAACTCCACCCAATGAAGTTATTTTTCAAGTGAGCATAAAAAAATAAACATTATGAAGGAAGAAATATAAAAAATGCAAAATTTTTAAATCCTGTTGGGTGTTATTATTATTAGCACACCTACAAATGCAAGAATGTCTCAAACGTGGCATTACCCATTAGTAAGCGCCTCCGTGACTTAGACAGGAAAAGGATTTTCCTGTGATCCAATCATTGTTCATTGAGAAGGTGAGCTGGCAGGTTTGATTATACAGAGCTCTGTTGGCTTTAGTTTGCAGCATACGCTCAGACTGATGTTATGCATGGAATTTTGGGGTGGAGGTGGTTTGGGTGTACATGGGCCACTCTGTAGACATGTCTATGAAATAGAGTTCAAGTTGTGATAAAATAAAGGTCAGTGACCGCAAAGATCAACATCAGGAACTCAAGACCCCCATAAATCCCACTTCAGGACAAAAAAACAACCCCTGAATTTCCACAGTACATCCTTTTTGGTACCATAAAAATACTATTAAGGAACAAGTCATTCTCTATAAAGTCAAACAATAAAAACTGTGTTGAAGCAGGGGTGGGGCAAAGCACTTTTCATTGTCTCTGGGTTATTATAATATATTATTATACTAACTTGAATTGCAAACCTTCACCTTATGCATGAAATGAGAGTGCAGCACAGAAACCACTATCCCTTAGCAAATATAGTTTCTTATTTTGTGAAGAAAACTGCATTTCAAAATTCGTATGCAATCAGTGTCCGACACATATGGTAAATGGACTGTACTTATTACTGGGCTTTACTGGGCTTTTTATCCAGTCAACATACTCGAAGCGCTTTGCACTACAATCTGTGCCCTCATTTTACCCATTCATACAGCACTCTACATCTCTACAAAGCTCATCTGAATCTGTAAATATTAATAAATGCTTAAGATCACGTTCATAGACCAATGGGACACACATCGGAGGCAATGAGGGGTTCAGTCTTGCTCAAGGACACTTAAGCATGTGATTGCTCCCATTGGAGCACCACTCCCAAACTCTCCCATTGGAGATCAACTGCTCTACCCAGTCAGCCACGGCCGCCCCATATCATTATCACCAAACAAAGCACTTAAAGTTGAAAAAGCATGGACAAACTTGGTTTTATAACCTGCACTGTGACATTCCACTTTTCCTAACTTTAATTATTGATCAACACAGCATGACATTGAAAGCACACATTAGGAATACACAGATTTCAAAATAAAGTGCAATGGGAAACTATAAAAAAAAAAGAAGAAAAAAACACATTGATTAAAAACTGCCTCACAATGCAACAACCATCCATTTATGATAAAACCAGCATTTACCACACTCAAATTGCTTTCATTTGTATGCCAAAAGATTCAAAATGGGAACTATAACGCCATTTATCATATTTCTCTGGGGACAGAAGACAGATGATACCAAGCTGCTGGCAGTGATGCTTGTGTGCATTCCTGACAGAGCCCTGGGGACACGTCCATTAACCCTGCTCAGAGACAATGCCATCTTATCTCCAAGATGTCCACTTCCGCTTCTGACTCCCCACCCCCACCCCCCCTTCTCCTTCTCCGATGCATCACTTCTACTTTCTCTCCAGGGTGAGCTCTCTATCCCCAAAGCACAGGAGGAAACCCCAATGAAGCCCTGAGGAGCATGCTAAACCCAAGCTTCAGTCCAGCTAAGTGCACTTCAGCTACTAATATATCATCCATCACAGCCTGCTAATTGAGGCAGATGGAGTTTGTTTGACATGCTTATGATAAGCACCATGCCCCACAACACTTGCAAGAAAATAGAAAGTGGGTGGGGAGTTTATGAAACAAAATTTTACGACCATCTGCTCTTTTATTTTAAGGATGCGTTTGTTTTCACTTGTCCCGCACAGCACATATTTGAAAGAAAAAAAATAGATAAATACAAACAGTCATGTGCAATCCAACATCGTCACTATGTGAGCCAAGGAGATGGTTGCAGATTGTAACTTTCACAGCCTTCAATGGTTGATCCTTCAAAAACAAGCAAAGCTGACAATTTATTTGCCCACAGTAAATGACACCAAAAGGCAAATGTCACAGATATCCAGCTGCAAAGTATGTTGAAGTAAAAAAAAAATCTCAACTGACGTGAAGATGAAGATGCATATGAACAATTAAAGATATTACATGTATTCAAAAAAGCATGGATGTAATATCGGACAAGGTGAAATGTCTCACCCAAGGTGGTCCCCTTAATGGTAAATGGACTGTACTTGTATAGCTCCCTTCTATCTTATCAAGATATTCAAAGCACTTTACACTGTGCCCTCATTTACCCATTCATTCAATTCAATTCAAAAATACTTTATTAATCCCAAAGGGAAATTAAGTGTCGTCATAGCTCATCATCCTGGTTTCATTCAAGAGTCGTTATAGATGCTGATAGCTGTGGGCAGGAAGGATCTGGCTACAAATACCGATCCGTCCACCTGGATCCAGCTTGCTGTCAGATCCGGCGGGGCTCTTGGTCCTCCTGGGCAGCAGAACTGCCCGAAAGCTCCTCCTCACCACGGACAGACAGCTGAAGGTGTTGGGGTGTAATCACGGTCCTTCCGTTGCCATGAGCCAAGTTTCCCCAACAGCTTCATGATATTGAAGATCAGGTACTCGAGCACCGCTGCCAGGTTGATGGGAATTCATACACGTCGCCTCTTTTTCAACTCATCTGGGATTTGGGGCTTAGTTTAGGTATATGAGCTTTGGAGATGATAATCAGCTGCTCCTGGTTGTTAAAAAAAACACCTTGCCTTGTTGCCATGGATACACATCATAACAAATGCCCAAAAGTAAAAAGGTTTCAGTAAAAATCCTTCTAGATGCACATCATATGATACCAGAGGAAATGATCATCTGAAAAAAGTGATTTACATCCAGAAAAAAAAGAGGAATTAAAGTTTTCAAAAGCAATAACTCAGAAAGAATGTAACAGAGCTACTCCAACATGCAGCCACCCCAAGCGGCACAATTCTAGAACATTCATTCAACAGGCCATACAGCACTCTACTAGATCTACACAAAGGTAATTGAACAAATCATTTAAAAGAGACTAATCAGTGCTTTTAGATCACATTCATACACCGATGGGACACACATTGGAGGCAATGAGGGGTTCAGTGTCTTGCCCAGGGACACTTCGGCATGTGACTGCTGGTGTATTCGAACCCCCAACTCTTGCATTGGAGGACGACTGCTCTAACCACTCAGCCACAGCCGCCCCAAGTAATGTGGTCAAACACCATTTTCTCTTTTAGTCTGCGTTTATGCAGTATAGTTGCAATGATACTTAATTGAAGCAAAGAAACAGCTGCGAGTATATAAAATTGAGTTTTTTGTAATTTCTTTAAATTGTTGCAGAAAAAGTAGTAAAAAATCCTCTAAGCCGATCACTGCCAAAGCTAACATGGCAAACAGTCGTGTTTTACAGCATTTTGTTCCTTACAGTGTTATTTAGGGTTTCTTTTGACCAGACAGCTCTCACATGAGTTTGTTTTGTTTAAGCCAGGAATTCCTCGTGACAGCCCTTTGCACACAACCCATTCTTTCACACCCGCCCAGAGATAAATTGCCACCAAGAAAAATATTACTTCTGTCACAAAGCCTGAACTCTTGACTGCATAAATGTGAGGGCACATTTTTACACACAAGCTAATTGTATGTTGGCTATGAATCATGATAGTGGGTAGCACGCTACCATCCATCTTTCAAAAGTAATCGTAGCAAAGAGGAAAACGATAAATCAGTGTGACATTTTTTTGTACCCTTTTTAAGTTTTCTACTTTATTTTACCAACTTCTATTTTAACTCTTTATGCCCTTCTTTTATACAAGTGTGACAAGCAATCAGCTTTAAATCAACCCTAAAATTACCCATCTAGTGCTTTTTTCCAATTTTTGCAAAAAAAAGTACCAAATATTTGAATGGCCCTTTTGTCTACGAGGCAGACTGGGCAGGTTCAAAGGTCATCCAACTGCCTGCTTCCACAGTGCCTCTTGTGTCTGTGTGGATGTGTGCCAGCTAAATGCTGTTATGTTTGGACAATGGTGCAGCTTTCCGCGGACTGACTCATGACAGCTTCATCATGTTAACAAATGATGTAATAGCTTGATCTTCGTGCATGAAGGCCGTCATTATTAAAACTTTGACTACTTCAGCAAGAGTTTTCTCCAATGTTGCCGCTATAATAAAAAGGGCCATTTTAAGCCTTCTGATTGTCCCAATTCTATGATATATTCTATTTTTGGAGCAAAAAGTGATAATCTCTGCCAAATTATGAACAGCAGTTGAGCTGTTTGGAACACCTTGTTGGCAACTCAGGATGTTCTTGTGTTACAAATACCATTTAACCAAAGAATGGACTTAGTTGACATAGAATGATCCTCTTAACTCATATAAGCAAGTCAAATGTTTAGTTTTTTACTGACTGTTCAAACGCCTGACCTCAGAGTTTGCTTTGGTTTTACATAGAGCACTAGAAAAAAATTGTGTCTGCACAAAAGCAAGTTTTGCGACAATATGACTAAGAGCAGCTTTGGCCGATTTATAGCCATCAAAAATAATTTGAATCCAAAGGATATGGAAACTTCATGGACATTCAAAAAACAGATAATCAAGGTTTCAGTGAGCCTTAATACAAAATAAAGTTAAAGTTGAAGGTAACAGATTCTGGTTCAGGGCCAAGCAGTTAAACAGAAAATAGTT